TCAACTAATGAAATAATGTTGCGCAACCATTTTGTTGATTGAATGAGGTTTTAAAATGATTTCGAATATAAGATCGGATTATTAACACCATCCTATATTCAATAATTTTATTTGGATTTTATCTGGATAAAAAAAATATCCAGGGGACATTGTTGGGATCTAATTTAATCATATGTAGGATATCCCAGGGATATCCCAGGGATTTATTTTTGGATGTCCTACGGATATCTGAAAAGCGGACATTCGGATATCCCACGGATGCCCTACGGATATCCTATGGCTTTGTACAGACATCCTAGGGATATCTGAAAATCCTTTACATTACATCCCACGGACATCCGTAGGATGAAATTTTGCTATGTGGGCAATTTGTCGTTTTCCGTAAAAACAAGTCCTTCCTAATTTTAAAAAGATATATTTGTTTTTTACGTGTTATATTTGTATGTAAAACGAAAAATAATACAGATGTCGAGTAAAAACATAAAAATTGTAAAAGTTTGTTTTTCACATATTGTTACTCACCAATCCATGTTCATGACAAAAGTTGATGGCCGCAGAGCTGATACGATCTTCGTGATAATAATAACAATGACTTGATACGTTTAATTTCAACAATTTTTGTGTAACGCTTTTCGCATTATATTTCCATCCTGCGAACGCAGGCGATACAATTTTATCACTTCTGCGCAGATTCAGTTGAATCAATCGTCCGAAAACTTTCATTGTTATTGGTATCTGTAAATTGTATGACAATTAAAAAAAAGTTTGATAATTCTCGAATAACGACTCGAGCAACAAATAGAATGATACTGTAAAATGCACGTACCTTTTCTACTTCTGTCGGGTTCGATATCGGTAGTAATATTGTTTCTATATCTCGCGTGATATGCGCGTAAGTTTAATTTATTAAGATTATTATTACCAATTTCAATAAAGAAAACATCTTATTTTTTTAAGGTTTTTAATTTTAAATTATTACTTAAATAATTTATATACACGTATTAGCACAGTCGCGTTCGTTATACCTGTAATGATCGCGAATATAACTCAAACTGGCGTATGAGGATATTATTCGTATGGTGTGACACCTATTGCATATTCTCTCTTTGCTTCATGTATATGTAAATATTTTTGTTTCTAAAACCTAAAGTTCGGAAGTGGTATGTACGATAACGGTTTAGGATGTAGGTTAATAAAATGTAATTTATCACTTATATGTATAATATGTAACTATATTTGGAAGCGTAAGAGTTTTATTGTCATTAATTTGATTTCTAAAAGTTGATAATTGAAGTTGGTATGAAAATTTGTCGTTTTATGCATATGTGTAATAAAGATTACATTAAAGATTATATTGAAATTCAGAAATGAGTGGATGGGAATCCGACGAAGGAAAGGAAACAATTAAATAAAATTTTACATATTGCGACATAAATTATAAATTAATATTTCTTTCACATGCATTCTGTCCAATGAAAATTGTTGCTTACAAAAAAACATGAAAATGAGTTAAAAAGTCTATTGGAAATCAATTATTTTTAATAGCATTCTAATGTCATGCAAATGTTTAGACACATAACGCCCTCATAAATGCAATAAGTGATTAATCCTTTCAGTAAGGGTACATTTTCATAAATCGTTCTTTTCAAACGCAAAAAAATGACAAGGCTAATACATGTCGTGAAATGAACGTAATTTGAAGATATAAGTTTCTACGAATTTTTATACAGAAATACACACGCTCACACACAAATACAAATATTTAATCCAGATATCGCTCATTGGCGACAGCCGTGTTTTAGGAACTTTTCGTTTTGTCATCTATTGATGACAGCCGTAGTTAAATGGATAATAATTGATAATAAATAATGTGAGAAATATTCAAATATGTGATGTTTTTCAATACAATATCTATAAAAATAGAAGTACAATATGTATTTTAAGCAATATATTTCAACAATTCTTTCTAAATTTCAAGAATCTTCAACTTTACGTAATCGGTATTTTTGCAAAGAAGAATTTATTTATTATTTCGATAGCGCTACTTCTAATGTTTAGTGTATTGGCTCTAGCTGTAATGGTGCGCGCAGTAAATAGAGAAAAGCAAGCAGCACAAAAATCAATCGAGATACTCGACTGATTTGGAGAACATATTAAGTACATTACACTTTCTTTTAATAAGTTTGATAATAACTATTAATTTTATTTTATCTTATTAATCAATGAAATTTGTTTTTGATATCATTAATTCTACGTATTTTTTAATAAATTTGTCTTTTATTAACAAACCAAGGATTTACTACATAGTAAAATAAAAAGTAGCAATGATAATTCAACAGGATTTAGGTTGGTTACTAAATAAATCGTAAATAATTTTAAATTGACTTATGCACGTTTTGCAATTTTATTTTATCTTATCGTTAGATCTTTGTCCATACATGTTGATAATCTATCGACAATTATTTTTCGATTGAGTAGTTTCCCGACAGACAATAAAGCCCCTTGCACAATGCCAGGCAACAGGCAATAGGAACAGGGAACAGGAATAAGAAATAAGAAATTATCGCTCCCAATGCAGAATGATGCGATAGCGACAAGAACCAACCAATCAGAACTTTTGAATTTTGTCGGCTGCTTTGTAGTGTTTATAATTGATCCCAGCAACGTGACGCAAAAATATTAAATATTAATATTAATATTTAATAAAATATTAACATTTTAAGGTTTTATTGTAACAAAGTAAGTTAAATATATACTCATACATACACACACGTGTATTTATATATTCTGTATATATAATACTATATGGTTTTTTTATTAGTATATTTTCTTTAATATACTTTTTAGATAATTTTGCTATGGATGACGAAAACATGATATTATTTCTCTGTACAATGCAAGTAGCTAGCCTAGCATTGTACACTGTATGGAAGACGAAAAAATCCAAATGTTGGAGGAACAGGCGATGGTGGGTTCGTCCCATCAATACTCGACGTGCACAGTATGGTGATTTCGCAACTTTATTTGCGGAGTTGAAAAAAGATGAAGATATGTTTTTCCGGTATATGAGAATGGATGTGCCTACATTTTATGAATTACTGCGACTAGTGGGTCCGTTCTTGCAGAAAAGAAGTATCAGAACTCCGATATGTCCAGAACAACGTCTTGCAATAACTCTGAGGTATAGATTATGTGTTTTAAAATAATAAACTGTACATTTTATGCATGGATTGAATTTTGGAAAGTTTATCAACTTTGTTACAGATATTTAGCAACAGGAGACCAGATGCTATCTGTAGCTTTAGCATACAGAGTAGGAGAGTCCACTGCTCATATGATCGTCAAGAAAACATGCTCTGTTATAGCGGATGTTCTGATGCCAATTTATGTGAAACATCCCACAAAAGAAGAATAGATGAAAATCAGCAGCGATTTTTTAGAATTATGGAATTTGCCAAACTGCGTTGGAGCAATAGATGGCAAGCACATATCTATCCAAGCACCTCCGAATTCTGGCTCAACATATTTTAATTATAAAAAGACTTTTAGTATTGTGCTGATGGCTGCTTGTGATGCTCGATATAAGTTTACACTGTTCAACGTTGGTGCGTATGGCAGTGAAAGTGATGGCGGAATTCTTTCTAGATCAGATTTTGGAAAATCTCTATACTCAGATACGCTCAACATACCTGGAGGCACTACTCTTCTACCAGGAAGTGATAAGAAAGTATTTTATTATTTCGTTGGGGATGAAGCATTTCAAATGTCTACACACATGATGCGACCTTATCCAGGGAGGTCTTTAAATGAACAAAAGAGAATTTTTAATTATCGATTATCCCGAGCCAGAAGGATAATTGAAAATACATTTGGAATCTTTACAGCCAGGTGGAGAATATTTCTAAGATCAATATGTGCTAGTCCAGATGTTGCTGACCGATTGGTGCTAGCAGCAATTTGCTTGCATAATTTTTTAAAAACTAAAAATGATGAAAAAGTCCCGCTGCAGCAAAGGTATTGTCATCCCCAATTTACAGACAGAGAAACGGAAGAAGGGGATTTAATAGAAGGAGAATGGAGACAACAGACACAAATTGATCAAATAAGACCTATGAGAAATGCAGGAGCACATCGAGCCACTAGAGAAGCATATACAATGCGCGATACTCTTTCATCATATTTCATGACAGCAGCTGGGGAAGTTCCTTGGCAATATGAATACATACGTCAAGGGCAACATCACGATGTACCTTAAAATTTCTATTTATATTTGATGATTTAATATTTTTTCTTATTATCTAATATAACTTGTATTATATTCTGTAGTAAGTACTGTAATAAGTAATATTTAACTTTTTTTTCTATTTATATATATATATATATTCCATTTTATATATTTTTTTATACTTTTATATGTGTGATTTGTGTATATAAATATATGTACATAAATATAATATGTGATGACTATTATATAGAAAAATACAGTAAATACTTTTATATGCAAAAAATAAAATTGTTTTTTATTAAAAGCCAAATAAACTTTTATTTCTAAGAAACTATAGTATTTAAAAATATATTTGTAATTAAAATAAATTTTTCTTGTATTGTAATGAAACTTAATTTCTCTAGTATTTCAAATTAAAATTAAATCTCTCCTGATATTATAACAAAATAAAAACTTTTAAATTACATAATAATAATAAAAAATAAAATATAATATGAAATAACGGATTTTAAATAAAATTAATAGAAATGTTTAAATAAAATTAAGAGAAAATGTTTAAAAGTATAGTAATTCATAAATTTTGCTTTAATTCACTTTTACGCGGTTCTATTGCCGCTTGAAGCTCTGCTGTGACGAGTTTTCCTATTAGAACATCTGTATCGTCGTTTACCGCTTTCTTCTGGGAACACACTTCAGCTGCCATTGTACTTAAAGTATGATTCATTTGATGGAACGCTGTTTCCACCGGGTCAAACTTCCGCTTTTTAAAAACTCTCTGCTGGTTCCCCGAAAAGCAAGAGAGTGGTGGACTGACTAAATCCGATCTCTCCGAAACAGGTGTTTGAGAACGATATGAAGATGTCGATGACTGCAAAGGAATATTAAAATTAGTAAATTTTACACTTTCTTAGAATCAGTTGATTCAATTACTCACGACTCCAAATTACTTACCAATGAAGTTTCTTCATTTGCTACAAGTGGCACTGTGTGGCTTATTCCTTTCGACAATGTATACTGGCCGGATATTGAAGCTGATGTCTTGTGCTGTAATGTGAGTAAAACGAATTTTCAAAACATATTTCTCTAGTAAGATAACATTGATAAAAAAAACTTATCGCACATTGGAGTCGTCATTGGCGAATATTTCATCTTTCTGAATGATCATTGAATGTTTATTTTTCAACAATGTCTCACTGATACTGCTTGATTGCTTCATACAGTTGACATTAGAAAAGCCTCTGAAATGATAAATCGTTGTTGAATATACTTTGTTCAAATTTATTAATAGATTTATGACTGAAGAAACAAAACAAACCTTCTTTGAGGTATATGTCTCTCTAAGAAATTGAGACTGTCAAACAAGACCCATTTTTGTCTTGTAGGTTTTTGAGCTCCACTCCTCGTCTCTTGCTCCCGCAGCTGCCTCTCTTTGCTGAAGCGTTGGCGAAGACGTAGCCATCGATTCTTGCACTCTATAACTATATTATACACGTCAAATATTAACAACTATAATCTTATGATATGTAAAATGGTAATGAGACAGAATGGAGACTGAAACGCAGAAGGGCTATCTCTGATAATGAGACTCAAAGTCAGTAAAAGGTTAAATTAAAGTTTACTTACGTGTAGTGTTCAAAGTAGTGGCAATTTCTGTCCATGCATTTTCCTTCATATTCGCATCTTTATAATTGTCTACTCTTTTATCATAAAGATATGGGCGAGCACGAACTAAGTCAATTAATAATTCATCACCATATTTTATATATTTATTGGAGTTTTCATCGAATGATTCCAATTCGTCGCTAAAATACCTTTCCTCGTCCTCGTCGAAACGACTGGAATAATCACGATGATCCATCATTGCTTCTGATAAAAGTCTTGTACATGTGCATACACGCGCCAAGAATTCGTAAATTAACCTATAACATCCGAACGCAATGATTGGTTGGCAACAGGCAACAGGCACAGAATTTCCGACGTGACGAAAATTCTATGTCTATTTCCTGTGTCACAGTCTATTCTGCATTGATATATAGTTTCTGG